AAACAGCGATGCCAGTTTCTTCTAGACCTACAGACCCGAGATTGGAAGGTTCTATGAGGCACACCGGCTCCATTACTGCGCTCAGGGAATTGGTATGTATCTCCGTAGTCTGGATACTGTTGGTTGATAAAGTTGCTTGCTTACATTCGCATATTGTTTTTTTTCGTCTTTGAATTATACCTTAAACCAAATTCCAGTGTGCATCGGAGGGTTTTGAGATGTCCTTTCAATCTCAGCGTCCGCTTCCATCTGACATGGTCCACAGAGATGAATTACGTGCTCAGGTTCGCACCCTTAAAGATTAGAACACAGAAGTGTTAACTTCGAAAAAAATCTAAGATAGAAAATTTTCCGTTTTGGACAACATTTATTATTAAAAAAAAAAGATTCATGACATATTCGTCGGGGCTATAAATAAATTCCATATCTGTTCAATTGGTTTGAAGTATCTACGGTGCAGACTCCTCTTGATTGTCTTTGTAATATAATTTCAGGTTGAAATAGATGGGCGTGTTGTAGGGGAAGGAGTTGGATCGACATGGGACGAAGCTAGAATGCAGGTAACTCAACTAAATTCTTGCCTCGGGTTATTCTGATCCCATCTTTCCCCCTTTTTTAATGTTCTTACTTTTAGGCTGCTGAGAGAGCACTGTGTAGTGTGAGATCAATGCTTGGTCAACCTGTGCATAAACGACAAGGATCTCCACGGTTAGTTCTTGATTATATCTATGAGTATCGAAATAAATATGTGTTAGTTGATATATATTAAAACCAGTTTTCTTGTTGATGTTTAGATCATTTGCCGGGATGTCAAACAAGCGTTTAAAGCCAGACTTTCAACGGTCTCTGCAACGGATGCCATCTTCAGGAAGATACTCTTAAAAATAAAACCATGTGAAGAACAAAGCACATTCTTGATTCTACATCAATTCCATTCTCTTGGTAAAAACAGCTACCAAGACGAATTCTTTGTCAAGTTCCTTTCTTCGCCAAACGATGATCAAGACAGAGAGAGTTGGCTCTCTTGTATTGTTGTAACAACATTTGAGGCGGATCATGATTTTTGTATCATAAAAACTCAAGAGTTGAAGCAACAGCTCGAGTGATCACACAGATAAGACCTAAGCATGAACGATTAGCTTGTTCTCAGGGCTGTTAGTTACTCAGTAGAAATCAGTAAAGTTGGTTAATAGTTTCCATAAAGCTTTATTCTGCAGTTTTACAGTTCACAGTCTCTGTTTTCACTGAGACATACTGTTTTAGGTTATGACTGATTCAAAGTTTATGAGAAAAAGTTACAAAAACTGTGAGTGGAATCAACTTATCCTTTATTGAGAAACATTAACAAGACTTTGCACAAGAGTAATCCTTTATATCACAGAACTAGCTCAGCTTTGAACAATTTACGTAAAAAGCTTCACAGCATAAATAAAACACAAAAACTCTCTAGCTCTGACTCAGACTTCCTCCTCGTCAGTCACGGACTCAGAGAAACTTGCTTCAGACTTGATATACTTATACCATTTGGCACAAATCAGGTAAACCACGAAATCAGCTGCGGTTAGACCAGCTAAAAGGAAGTAGAATCTCTCCAAGTGTCCTTTGTTGAGGTTTTCAGGAATCCAGCCAGGCACGTCATCTGTTGTAGAGATCTTCATGACAATGGAAACTAACAAACTGCTTACATAGTTCCCAAGAGATATTGAAGCCATACATAGCGCGCTTGCAAAGCTCTTTAGCCCTGTTGGTGCTTGGCTGTTGAAGAACTCGAGTTGACCAACATACATGAACACTTCTGATGCACCTATCAACATGTACTGAGGTACTTGCCAGAATATGCTCAAAGAGCTCGAGCTTGAGACCGAGGTAGAACTTTCTGGTTCTTTATTTTTCAGTCTGTAGATCTCTACAGTTCCCGCTGAAATCATCGCCATTATCGCAATCACAAGCCCAATTCCCATCCTCTGAAGCTCAGTGAGACCTTTGTTGGGTTCTGTTTTGTTAAGTCTAGCAAAGAGTGGATCAAGAAACCGCCTGTAAGCAAAGATGAAGAAGGCGACGCTGAGAATGTCGAAACTAGACATGCTTGAAGCTGGAATTCGGAAGTTTTTAATGTTTGTCTTCATCGCCGCGCCTTGCACCACGAACAGTGAAGCCATCTGAGTGAAAACCACAGAGTAGAGGATGGTGCAGAGCCAGATTGGTAAGAGTCTTAACACACATTTCACTTCTTCGACTTGAGTCACCGAGCAAAGCCTCCATGAATCGTATTTTGATCCGCTCTCGACTTTCTCAGCCTCGTCGTCAGGTGTAACTATCGCAGCTCTATCCAAGAATCTGTAGAAAAAAAATTAGAGAGTTAAAGCTGATCTTGAAGATTTTTTCTGAGATTAGAAGAGAATCTTTTTAAGCTGTTATCTACCTGAAGCCTTTGGTATGAAGAATTTTCTTATCTCCAGTTCGTTGAGTCTCAGAATCATAAAGATTCAAGTCCTCATGGTCCACATCAATCTTAGCCTTTCTTGTTGCAGCAACCAACACTTGGCAGAATCTAGACCAAGGACTCTCTCTAGGCGTAAAATGTCGGTACTTTGGTGTGCCGGTCAAGAAAAGTACTAAACCCGCAAAAGCAGAGCCTGCGGACGCCCAAAAACCTAGCGGCCATTCCCCTTGATCCTCGAAGTAACCCAAGACAGTATTCGAGAAGAGCGATCCAAGATTCAGAGCTAAGTAAAAGTAACTGAAAAATGCTATTTTCGAGTGTCCTTCAACGGAATCCTCTGCATCAAACTGATCAGCTCCAAACGTAGCTATGTTCGGCTGATAACCACCATACCCTAACGCGATTAGGTACACCGATAGATAAAACAGAACCGTCTTAAACGTGGAGTGAGGCTTACACGGTGACTCTTCAACTCCACAACCACTAGGTTCAAGCAATAACGCACCAGTAGATAAAGATAACATCACCAATCCCTATAACCCATTAAAACATGTTAACTTATGGCTCAAGAAACAAACCCTAGAGAAAAACAGAGTAGTGTTGAAGAAACTTACTGCAACGAAACTTGCTTGAAAGATTGCACAAGTCTTGTAACGTCCCCAATAAGAGTCACTGAGGAAAGCACCGAGCAAAGAGAAGATATAAACAGTTCCAGTCCATTTACTAACATTATTGGCCGCTTCTGCATTGTCTTGTCCCATCACTCTGGTCAGAAACAGAACCAAATTCACTCCAACACCGAAGAACGCAAGCGTGGCTAGTCCTTGATTCACTATATCAACCAAAAACCCAATTCTTGAGAATCCAAAACACAACACTTTAAGAAAAAGAACAGTGTGTAATATATACATAGATTTATTACCTAGAATGAGAATAGCAGTGAGCCATTTTCCGGTATTGGCCCGGATAGCTGGATTGCCGTGACGATCAACGCTACCGTCTTGTGTGCAAACCTCAAATTGTCTAACTTTTTGATCCATCGATTCGATTTCGTGTAGAGAGATATTCAAAAAGATTCCTTATCTTGATGATCCTAAAGATTTGATGATATGCTGAGTCCGGTTAAAGAGTAAACCGGTGGGTTGGAGAGGAAAGGAGTGACCTCTGAATCAACGAGGAGGAGATAAAGAAAACGAAAACACAAGAATCGAGGAAAGTGAAGAAGAGAAATATTTATTTGAGATTTTAAGAGTTGCGTTGAAAGTGTGAAGAAGAGAGTTTATATTTATAGAGAGCTCAGCAATTGAGTCAGAGAACTCAGAAGAGATCCTTTCTTTGACGTCTCTTTCTTTCTATGGTTTTAATTTAAATCATTTATAATTTTTTAAGAAAATAGAAGGGGCTGCCAAAATATATGTTCGGTGGATTTTCTCAACAGAATTTTGAATTAATCTTTTGATAAAGTTAAATTAATCATGGTATTTTAAAATATTAATTTTGCTATTTTAACTAGTTATAAATTTATAATACATTAATATAGTTAAAAAGATAAATCCAAAATGATAGTTTTTAACCAAAAATTATTATTTTTTATGCAAGAAAAATAGTTATGTAAAATTTAGGTTTAAACGAAATTAAAAAATAATTTATGAACAAACAAATAATACCCCTATTATATGCGAATAAACCCATAATTTACGGTATAGGAAATTAAAACTTAGAAAAAAATATTAAAAAAATATTTCCCTAAAATCTATGAAGAAAAAAACACCTGGTTAAAGGTAAGCCAAGCTAAAGTGTGACCAGTTACACTTGGAGGGCTGCTGGAAGAGACTGAAAAAATCAAAAAACATGAGACAAAATAAATAAGTAAAAGAGTAAAAACCAAAAACAAAAACTACAAATAAATTTTTATTTAAGAAAAAAAAAGGAGGGGAAAAAGTGAAAGTAAAGTTCGTTCCCCACTAAAACAGGATTTGGTGTCTCTTTCAAGCACGCTACGCTCGTGTAGCTGTCTTCGATTACGACTCTTCTTACTCGTAACTTATATTTTAATTGGTCATATTCTTAATCCAAGTTTAAGCCCTAATTTATGTCTAATCGTTGAGACGTTTTGGTAATTCCATTTTTGTTATGTTAGAGCAAGCCCAATGGTATAATCCTTAAAAAGACTCTTAAGCATTTTTTATTATAAATTATGACAATTTCAAAATTAAGAGTTTGTGTTGAATCCTTAAAATTTTATTTGTCCAATGGTAGAGTCCTTAATGGGTTTCTTAAAAAAAAAAAAAATTATTTATTAATAAACATTGTTATTTGATAAAGTCATAAAACTTAATAATTATTACAATTTCCTAAAATTTTAAACATACAAGACATAAAAACATATAAAAAAAATACAAATCAAAAACAGTTATAATAGCTCTAGATAGTGCAGCAGAAACAGGCCGCAGTCAAATGAGTTTTCCTGCTGTGGCAACTGAAATAGAAAGAGCAAACTTGCCATCACATAAACAATTATTAACAGCTGCAAAAAGTATCTATCATTTAGCAGGAAAATTGTTAAACTTAAAACAAAGGATTGGAAGCTTGCATATGGCAGATGAAAGGTCAAACAACAATTGCTAGCTACAAGATTAATTCATGGGCATTTCATCAATGTCAGCGGTTCCTAAGTGGTTTGAAGTGAGTTCAGATCACGTTTTTAAAATGTAAACACATGCAAATGTATATTGCTTTTAATAAAAAATATTGCAACAAATGCTTCTGTCAACGGGGTAGTAAATTCATGGAGGGCAGCTACTTTAGTTTCGTAGTGGTAGTAAATTGCCTAAAAGATCAACAAGAAATAACCACGAGTCTATCTTTCCATTAACTAGGGAACTAAAAGAGTAACAGAGCTTAGTTAGACTGATAATTCTTTGGCAACTTAAGCAGTACACTCTCTTTGAAATGCTTTGCTAAATCATCAGCACACCTGTAAATTCAAAAATATGTCTCATAACAGCAGCCATTTACATAAACTGTCAAAATCAAGTAAGAAAACAAACCTTGTAGCAAAGAGCTTCTCTTACATTTTCCACATAATCGTCAATTGTTTCTTCCTGTTTATCAAAAACATTTCAGTTACTGCAAATGGAAGCGACAAGACAATAACTCTTACAAAAACAATCACTAACACTGAACAAAGTTGAATAAGGTATTCGATTTTCTGGAAAATCCAGCAAATGTTTTAACCGTAGTCATAGAACCCTAATTTCTAGATTCATACCGTAACAAATAAAACAGTTAGATTCATACCGTGATCAAGCGATTGGAGCATGGAATCGCCTAACTATCCGATTTGATTTGCCGAACGCACTGATTAGGTCCACCGAACTTCTGTTGGTGACCACCGACGGTGGAGCTGATCATCACGGATGAATGGTTACGACTTTGTTTCGCCTTTCTCTTCCAATTTGATGATCTAGACGCCGGATTATGAAGAACAACACGATTTGCTCTCAATTTCGCCATCGGAGAAAACAAGGAGAAGAGAGAGAGAGTCGAGGAAAAAATGAATCGGGAAAGGAATTTTTTTTTGTTTTCTCACATTTACGAACCAATCACGCTGTGCCACGTCAGGGCACCTTAGCAACCCAAAAAACTCTAAAGCAAGAAACGTTTCTTGGGTTTTAAATCAGTTTTGATTTAAATTTGGGCTTTTAATTTTTAGAAACTTGGCTTAGAACCTTCTAAGGATCACCATTGCTGTTGCTCTTAGATCCTTTTTTTGTGTCTCGCATTCTATGTTTTTATCTTTCTTTCTTTTTTTCTTCAACAGATGTGTTTTACTTTTATCTATCAAACATAGAATTATATTTAATTTCATATATGGATGGATAAACACAAACTGACAAACATGTTCGGTATTGGAAATCAAAACTTTTATACCAATTCGCTTTGGTTATTTATGGAACTAGATAAGTAAAAATACGAAATACATCTAAATCTTCTATAGTATTTTACGCAAATCTTATCTGTCGAAATTATGTCTAGATTCATTGAAGCTTAGAAATATTTACAAATTCCAGCTTTTTTACATGAGAAATTAGATCTAAATGCGAGTCTAACTATCTAAATTTATACACATTGGGTCAAAAAATTTGTCTCGAAATTTTAATGATCACGTGAGCTATCTAGGTTTTAGTTTGCAATTGGTGAAATACCCATAGGAAAAAAAGAACTATGTTCTAGTAATGTCCTGAAACTTTGTTACGTCCTACTAACTTAAGTTAATTAACCATTCAAAAGATACTATACGTACATCTTGGTTAAGAACAAGTTTAGGTTTAAATACTAAATGTAGAACAAGTGGTAGTTTTGAACGGACATACCTTCATTTAGGTTTTGACGGATGATCGGCAGTTGAAGTGTTAATATCGGCTGATTAAAATCCAATTTGTCCACGACAATTTACTAAGCAATACAAAGTTCTCTTTATATATATTTGTGTTGCATTAATCAATATCCAATCATATCAACAAATAAAATAAATATTCTCTCGGTCCCATAAATTAAGATTGATGTTTTGGGTTTTTCACCAAAAAAAAAAAATTCTTTTTTATTATTATTATTTTATTAGTTTAATAATATTAATTCTACTTCTCGCTTATCTATCTCTATTGGTCACAAATCAAAATAATAATGATGCTGATACAAAACATTAATCTTTGTAAAACAAAAAAAACCACAACATCAATCTTTAGGAATAGAGGGAGTATCAAAATCCAACACTTTAATACGAATCAAAATAATGTTATTGTAAATTCCGGATTCCAGAGACGATATGATTTGGAGTTAAAGAAAAAAAAATTGACTTTGACAAGTTAATTGTATATTCCATTTAAGTTTACTCTTATATAAACTTTTTAAAAAAAAGTTTATTTTATAGACTTCAATCTTATAGACAACTAATTTTCTCACTAGACTTTTCAATATAAAACCTATTTACTCTCATGATTAGTTGGTTGAAAAATTTTTTACATCTCTCAATGGTGTAATATATAATTATGTGGTTTATAGTGTTTTTTGAACTTAAAATCAAACTAATTTCAAGGAATCAAAATCATCACGTAAAGTATATATGTGATGTGCATACTTGTATGTGAACAGGGTATAAGAAATTAGACGGAAATTTTGGACTATACCATTTGATCATGCGATTATAACATGTATAAGAAATTAATTAATTACGCCTAACCGTTAAAAAATTGAATATGATATATGTAATATAATCCAACACGGATCCAACCAATCCGACTCGTAAACTTTTTGCCCACCACATCACTAAGGAAATTTATTCAAAATGGTAAAAAAATTGTAAGTTAGATACCGGAAAATAATCTTATACCATAAGTTCGTGTAACACATCTTCACCATCAATCCAATGCAATGATTTAAAGTGGGTGATATAAGTAGAACAGATTATTACAAGTTAGCAAGACGAATAAGTTGATCACATATACGATATCTTGTAAACAAACAAAACACGATATTAAGGAACACGTAATAATTATTTGGTTTAATTTCCGCCTGTTTTTGAGCAGGCAAATAAAAGAAAAAACTCAAAAGAAACACGCTAAAGGTTTCTCACGAAATTAACGTGGACCATAAGACAAAATGCCAACCACCAACTTATACATAACGACAAAAATATAATATATTATTTCGTGCAAAAAGACTAACAAGTGACGTTCTTTTTTAATTATATATATTTTGAGGTATGCTAATTAAGCAGCCAATTTGAGGATTCAAGTGGCAACTTGAAGGATGTTGTCGTCTGCAAGCTGTTCTCCAAAAATACGTTGAATATTTTTTAAATTCACCCAACCAAGAAGCTTTATGTCTTCCAACGAAAACGACGTTCAAAAATCAAATTTCTATAGACTAACCTTTTTTAGAAAAAAAAAGTAATCTTTAATTGACTAATGTTGTGCCTAAAAAGTTAAGCTAGTAATAGGCAAAGTTTTATTTTGTGTTAATATGGTTTCATTTTTAATGTAAACCTTTTTTTATATAAACACAAAAAAATAACATGCAAATTTGATTTTGAATAGTGTAATACAATCGACATTATTAGTCTAAACCAGTATACAATAATTCTGCTATTAATGTATACACTCTCAGAATAAATATCATCACATTGACATGGTACAACGTTAGTTTCCATGTATATAAATGTATATTGTATAGTTTTTTCTGGCGTCATATTTATATATTTGTTACCCACTACGATTTTGGTCGATCTTTAGAAGAAAAAATATCTTTTGTTAGTCATCGGCTACTACGTGGAAACTGCTAGAACGATAAGAACAAAAGTAGCAGCTTTGACTTTTGATTCCACAACTCAACCTTTGCTTGCATCTGCTGCAATTTGGAATTTCGGCTAACAACTTTTTAAAATAAGCAATTGATGTATGATTAGTTATTAAACCACGGGATTAAGACAAGCTCTTATGGTCAATATATTATAAGCGCTTCCAATTATCTATCCTGTTTTTATATATATCGCTTATCAACTTTATCGTACATAATATATAAACCCAATTTGCTTCAAGCTGTCAAGCAAACCAAGCAAGTTGCTTCTCAGTTACTTTATTTAACTTTCTTATTGAATATATGGAAATTTAATTTCCAATTTCCACATTGTTTGAATATTTTGTAGTTAGAGATGACTCTAGTGACATTAAGTGCTACTTAGAATATCCTTCCGATCTTAGGTAAGCCATGACTATATACATCACTTGAGGTATATGATAAGAATTTTAATAAGACCACTTGTTATGAAGAAGTTTTGTCTACTATTTATCAGTTAAAAATTATAATGCGCTAATCATATATATAGATTTGCGATACTTTACATATGATTATAGCGTAAGACTACAATAATATAACGACGTGCATGGTTTTGTAAGACAAAGTAACATAAAATGATGATTTTGTAAAACTAAACGACGTGGTTTAAAGAGCCTACATAATTGTTCTCGAAAATTTTTACACAGACTAATTTAAAGGAGTAAGTAATAATGTAATATCATGGGGCTGGGAAAGAGCTACAAGCTGTCATTTGGAATAATATACGAACCTTTTCTTTTTGATATACGAAAGCTTGCTCATGTGTTGTGGACATGCAGGTTCAATATAACTAACAGTCTAACATGAAGTCCTTTGTTCCCAGCAACAGAGCCGTTCTTAGGATTTTTAAGACCATAAGCGAAAAATATAGTGTCTAATATATAAAATTTTTAATAAGTAAATATAAACACAAAAGAAGATTAAAAAATGATCAACCAAAAAAGAACTCGGTAAGAGATATTAAATAATCCACGTAATGAAAAAATAAAAATAAAAAGGATTAACAATCTTGAAGTTGCCTTATTGAGACATTTGAGATCTCAAAAAAATAAATAAATTAGTCTAGGAAACTAATGTAAAAATAATGCTTTAACGATAAAGTAACCTCAAATTGACATAAGAAAAAGTTTAATACCCTAATATGTTATCTTTTTAATTTTAGCTTATAATTTGTTTCTGATTTTCCTTTTTTAAAGCATTTAAAATTACTATTACTATTAATACAAAAACTAAGAACCTTAATACTTTAATTCTAAAAAAAAAAAGGTCGTAAGCGAACGTTTCTAATTTGTCTACATAGGCACAGGCCTGCCCAGCAACTTGGAGATTAGATGAATGAAATATAAAATCAAATGATATCGGGGAGAGCTTATATCAAACAAGACGACGACGTTGTTGTGGTTATCAATCCTAATTGTAGCTACAAATTAAGAAATAACCACTTGCTCTATATTTAAACTAACACATAGATATATATGTTATCTTTTTGTAGTTTATAAAGTCAATAAATAATTATTGTTTTGTAAATTTTAAAATAAAAAGAAGAGATAAATGAAAAAAATGGCTGACGTCTCTACTTCATTAATTGTTGTTTTCATTCGGTGAATATATATATTTATGGCGGGTCGAAACTAAAGTCAAATTCTAAAATCTACAGAAAAAAAGAAAAACTAAGTTTTCTTTATAGAGTTATATTAGTAATTTTTTCAAACGATGCATTCTATGGAATTTGAATTCAGATAATAATAACACAACGACGATACTATTACAAACTAGATTTCATGATCAAAATTCATTTAAGTGTAAGACGAGTTTACTAAGTGTGACATATGTAAAGTGAATAATCTAAAATCGTCAGAGAATAATTAAAGGAAATAATAAATTATTTCATAAGTTAATTGGTTTAAAAGCTACAAGTTCTAAATTTCTATATCTACACTATATATATATGCTGTTGTCAGATCAAAATTTTTATAGAAAGATGAAAGTGGTGATTAAATTTTGAGCAACTAGGAGATTAGCTGGAATGAATATATATGTAAAATATCATATGGTTTTAGGGTAGGGGCAGAGGTTATGTTACACGAAATCAACGTCCTTGTGCTTATCATCAACATTACATGGGAGCTTATAATTGTCCACCTCATGCATCTTGATCCACGTAACTTAAAAACAATCACTTGCTCATTTTTTAAAGTTTAAACACACATATATGTATGATGTATCTAGTTTTCTTGTTTGATCTGTAGTTTCTGAAGTCATAACTTATAATTTATCACATTTAAAGGATAAGAAGAAGAGTTGACAAAAAAATGGATAAGAAGAAGAAGAAAAAATAAATGACAAAAAATGGCTGAGGTTAGAATTTTGACTTCAATGTTACTTTTGTTCGGTGAATGAATTTATTAGACTACATATCGAGGGAGACGATGACTTATATATATCTGATAACTTTCTAAATCGAGACACGACAAAAATGTCTATATATAACTCATATTATAAGCACAATGAAGTATCTAGACGATCATCTATCTTATCAAACTTTGGTTTGTTTTTTTATCTCGGCGTAAGCAATTTGCTATTTGTTTTATTAGTAATATCATTTCCCACTGTTTACATGAATCAATTTGTTTTATATTGTTTCAAACGTACATGTTGCTTTTGGAAAAATCAGGTACAAACATTATAAATAATGCTTTTGATTTTTTTTCAAACGCTATTTACAAAATGTAATTTATGTAATTGCAATTATGCAAACAGAAACGTTAAACCCAAATAAGACGTTCAATGGATCTGAAGAGATTGTAATCAAGTTGCGCATCTCTGAGCAAAACTTTGTTTTTTTTTTTTGGTAAAATGTAAAGTATTTATACCATTTTCGAAGTTTTGACAGAAATTACAAGGAATACAAGTAGCGAAAAATAACCAAAAATTACAGAATAAACAGACAATAACAAAAACAGCAAAAGAGGATAACGAAAACCCAAAACGGAAACGAGAGAAGAAACACCGATTCCGAAATGCTAAACGCGGAAATTTGCGTGATTTCCACAAGTCCAAGGAACCAAGGAGATGGAGTCCCATCCTAGTTGCCACGAGCAAACCTTTACAGAGACCAGTCGTCAAAGCCTCCGGATAAGGCGCCTATAGCTTCTCCGCAAACTAACGCAAAAACGCAAAGACAACAGCGGACTAAAACACAAACCCGACGGTTACAGGAGCAACAACGGGCAACCAAAGAAACCACCTCCGGTCACCATTCCTATCACAACAACAGGAACAAACTCCCACGAGTAAACGATGCCACGAAGACCAAAGCGCCGCCTCTATTCTTCCCCCGAAGACTCCACTTGGACATGACACCCACCTTCAAAACTGTTACACGAAAAGAAAACACCAACATCGAACCACCGGGACTGAGATAAGGGAACCTGACGAGGCGCTACAAACAAGCAGCGACGGAAGACGAAACTGACACCAACGTCCTCCCACAAGATAGAAAAGACTCGCCATAAACCGAAGAAACTCCTCCACGGCGAGCCTAACCGCCACGCAAACAACCAAAAGCAAACAATTGCAAAGCAAACTGAAGCCGAGGAAGCCTCCACTTGTGCCGCAGATCCGAAATCCTCATTCTTAGAGACCGAAAGCTGGAGAAAACCAATGAAAGAGAGACCGAGAACAACAAGGAACAGAAGCTCCGTGACTAAGCCAAGGAACCTGACCAACAACAAACCTGAAAAGGGAGAAAGGCGAAGAGAGACCGGCTAGCTACACCGGAAACCAGAGACGCCACGAGCAAAACTTTGTTGTATAGGTTCTCCTCTATTTCTAGCTCTGAAACACCTCCTGAGCCAATTGCTCGAACACTTTGTAATGATTTCTTAAATTCAATATAATTTCGACGAAAAAAAAAAAAAGACGTTCAATATGAGTTGAATAAAAATTTTCTTTCTTTTTTTAGTTTCTCAACGCTCCTCCATATTTTGCGGTCTCATTCTAACTTGAGTGTCGAATTGTTTTTGAAAAATCAAATCTCGTTTTGTCTTCCTGGAAACTATCATAACCACATTATTGTGTTAGGATCGGAGTATTTTTGAGATTCGGATCCTCAATCATACAAGAAATTGAGTTAAGTTTGTTCTTTAATAGTCGAGCCCCCCCATACATATGCAGATATACTCACTAAAAATGTAGAAACGATGACGTTTTCTATCTGATCACCGATGGTTGCGAAAAGCATAAATTTCAAATACTTGTTTCATCTTAAAGAAAATCATATACTATTGAAATTATAATAAGTGACCTTAACCGTTTTTATTATAAGCCCATTAATTTGAGGCCCATATACAAAAAAGTAAGATTTCAAATAATTGTTTCATCTTAAAGAAAATCAAATACACTGAATAAGACATAAATTAAACGATCTAATAAAGACGGATTCTGAGATATCAATTCTCCAACACCTAAACCGTTTTTATTATAAGCCCAGTAATTGTAGGCCCATGCACACACAAAAAAAAGAAAAAATAATTATCTTTTTCAGTGAACCAAGTTTTATTGCTTTTTTTGTTACGTTGTTTTTCGTACTAAAATACTAATGTTGCTGACGAAAAAAATAATAAAAATACTAATGTTGCTTTGATACAACTGAAAAAAGAAAAAAAAACTCGCAAGGATTGAATAAAACAAAAGGTTTTCAGATCATGAATCCAAACACGACTACACAAGCATCTTTTTAACTAAAAGAAAGACGTTTTAAAACCAAAAAAAAAAACAAAACAGGATGGCTAGAGCCTAGACCAGCGAATCCCGTATCGACAACATCTAGTCCGTGCCCTGCCTAGAGCAATCATGTCATATACTAAAATCTTGATAGACCTGTCAAATTAAATTGCTTTTTCGAACAAATACTAAACCTTGTTAGACCTGTTTTTGTTTTTTCTTAACGCTGTCATAAAGATGGAAATTATGGTACATGCATGGCGCAGATGGAAATAGACGAAAATACGACAAAAAAGAGCATTAAGAGAAGAGGACAAAAGAAAGGCACACGTGTATGTTAGAGTTGTGTATGGTTGAATGGTAAAGAAACCACCTGAGCTGTTTAGACAAGACTCATGGAGAGAACAACTTTTAATGCTCTTTTATTATTCATTGAACACCTTCTTAAAACCAAAGAATTATGGACAACTTCTTTCTCAATAAGTATATTTTCATGGCATTTCAAAAGTCAACTACGCATGCATGATGCACCTAAACAATGCTAACATAGCTTCTCTAATAAATGTGTTTGTGAATTGCGATAAAAAAAATCCACTAGCTATTACTTAGTTTTAGAAATTTGATGTTAGTTTTTTTCAAGTAAATCAATTGTGAAACTGTCCGATGATTGGTTTTGGGACAACTGATGTATAACGCAATTCCATCTAGACATTATTTGTGGCCAATTTCATGAAAATGATCAGGAAATTTTCGAAGAATTTGGGATCTTTAGTTACGTTGCTAGCTAACCATAAGGAAGCGCTAACACGAGGGTTGCAAAAGCTTTTTCTATGTCTTTTGGGTTTTGGTATGATGGTAGGTATCTAATCCCTCTGACGAAAAAAAATATATACATCGATCAATGACTTTGAAAATGATGTGTGCGTAATATGTTATTGACTTATTGTTAAGTTTTGACTATCAAAGCATATCTAAAACAATTAACATCACTTTAGAAATGAAATCCAAAACGAATCTTAAGAAAACAAATATGTGATATCCTTGTAAAAAAGCTACTCTTATAAGTAACGTTTTGACCCAAAAAAAAAGTAACGTTTTGACCAATAAAATAAGTAACGTTTTGACATTTTGCATATAAAGTAAGAAACTAACTAAATATACTAAAGATGCCCCTCGAAAACATGTGATTCAAAATAGAGTTAACAACTTGTGAAAAGATTAAACTAAATTTAATAAATGATACTTACCTTAAAACAGAACAAAATCTTCTAAGACAACATTTATATTGAGATAGGAGAAATACAGTTTAGCAACAACAACAAAATTTCATCTAAAAGATCCATACACATTTAATGCCTGCTGATATGTACTTTCCCCAAACGACAAATATCTTTTTTTTTCTTTTTAGCATCTTAATCATATTTATGATACAAAGATAAAGAAAAAGAACAAAATCAAATAGCAGCTTTTCTCCACATAAATCCACATGTGTATATATAGTGCTAAAGCTACACTGTTTCTCTCCATCAAAACTCTCGAAAGAAAGAAAGAAAACAATAGTAAATCCTATAATTATATAATCATGAGCTCCGTCTCACAGCTATTCAAGAACAACCCCGTGAACCGTGACCGGATCATCCCACTAGATTTCACCAACACCAAAACCCTACCCGACTCTCACGTTTGGTCCAAACCCGAACCCGAAACCACGACCCGACCCATTCCCGTCATCAGCTTGTCTAACCCGGAACATGGGCTACTCCGACAAGCCTGTGAGGAATGGGGTGTGTTTCATATCACAGACCATGGGGTCTCACACTCGTTACTCCATAACGTTGAGTGCCAAATGAAGAGGCTTTTCTCTTTACCCATGCATCGTAAGATCCTAGCCGTCCGATCTCCCGACGAGTCCACTGGTTACGGTGTGGTTCGGATCTCCATGTTCTATGATAAGCTCATGTGGTCTGAAGGATTCTCCGTCATGGGTTCCTCTCTTCGACGTCACGCTACACTATTATGGCCGGACGATCACGCCGAGTTCTGGTAATATCAAAGATTTATGATATTTAATTAATGATTTAATGTTGTCTCCAAATATAAACGATAATATTATCATTGCCCTTAAATAATGCTCATTAATTCCCTATAAATTTATTTGGAAGAAACTAAACATGACTCTTTTTGTGCATTTTAGGTGAATATGTAAAAAGGAAGACCATATATATGCTCTATGCCTCTATATATAATTTGAACATCGTCTTACCCAATCTAAATTCTATATAATATGAAATAAATGAATAAAAATATGATACCTAATATAATATAACTAAAAAATAAAAAATAAAACTTTTTTTTGGCAAATGCAGCAATGTGATGGAAGAGTATCAGAAGGCAATGGATGATTTGAGTCATAGACTAATAAGCATGTTGATGGGCTCGTTAAGGCTAACACGTGAAGATTTGGGATGGCTTGTACCGGACAAAACTGGTTCAGGAACCGACTCCATCCAATCCTTTCTGCAGTTGAACTCCTACCCGGTTTGCCCTGACCCTCATCTAGCCATGGGCTTAGCCCCTCACACCGACTCCTCCCTACTCACCATTCTCTACCAAGGCAATATTCCAGGTTAGAGATATTATTAGGATATATACCATTTCTTCAATCCTTTATCATTTTTTTTTTCGATTAATCAATAGTTTTTCAACAACCACACATTAATACTTATAAAGAGTTCCTAAATTGGTTGCCAGTCTGAAGGAATAAAGTTTAGAACGAAAATTAAGTAAATCTAGATCTAGAACTGGTACAGTGGTACTAAACTAGTTACCTTTCAATTAAATGAACAAGAAATAAAGGAAAGCAAAAAATTACTGATGTATATTAAATTTAAAATTTACAAATGACACACATATTTTTCGTGATATATTAAAAAAATATTAGGTAATTGATAAACGATATAATTAACTAACATAAAAACTCTAGAGCTGAATAGGTCGTGGATATCACATAAATTATGTTTTTTTTTTTTTTTTTTTTTTGCTAAAAGGTTAAGTTTTATACATAAATTATGTTGCATGCATTGCATTGGTCAGGTCTAGAGATTGAAAGTCCACAAGAAGAAGGGTCGAGATGGATTGGAGTAGAGCCAATAGAAGGTAGTCTCGTTGTTATAATGGGAGATTTATCTCATATCATATCTAATGGACAGTTCAGAAGCACGATGCACCGTGCGGTGGTGAACAAGACGCACCACCGTGTCTCAGCCGCTTATTTCGCCGGCCCACCCAAGAACCTTCAAATTGGACCATTGACCAGCGACAAGAACCATCCTCCTATTTACCGTCGTTTGATATGGGAAGAGTACCTTGCAGCCAAAGCAACACACTTTAACAAAGCCTTGAATTTGTTCCGTTGCTGAAATAAAATTTTAATTAACGTCTAGCTATTTTGGTTATTGTTAAAATTTGCGTCGTTGCAGTTATAAGTGTATTTTTGGTTTCCTAGTTTATGTCAAATTTCTGCATTAAATGTTGAAGCGTTTTATTTTTGGTTCAATTAGAGTTTGTTGTTTTTGGTTTGATTTTTCTTTTAACGAAATCGAATAATCGAATATTTAAATCTTTTAATTTACACATGGAAAATTTTTAATTTTTTATACATAATCAAATTTATATGGTAATTTTGATTCATTAATGTTTTTAAATGATTTGACAAAAAAGGTTTAAATTTATAACTATACAGTTACTTCCTGACCAAAAAAAAAAAACTAATTGAAAAAAGTTATGTTAGCTTTGACCTTTGAAGCAAGCGGATCTAGAAATCGCGGAAAGAGGGGAAGAAACAGAGCATGTAAAAGTTCTTCACTTGCTCCGTAACAATGGCGACTTTTTGGCCGCCTTCTTCATCTTCAAACTACCCTTCAATACTCCTTTATTTACAATCATACCCTTCTCTCTTCTTCCTCCTCTTTCTGATCACCTCTGCAACTTCACTCACCGTTGCTTCCTTAGTGAATCCTCACTCCTTCATATCCCCACGTATCCCTTACTCCGATCACTGCAACCACATAGTTCCGGAGTCTCCGATCGACCCATCTCCCTCCGCTGTATTCAGCCGCGCGTCGCTTGCTTTCGATGTCAGCTTCTTCTCCGGCGGCGACTCTTTCTTCAGTCGGTATCAATCACAGAATGGTGATGTTAAATCAGCTAGATTCAGACCCATGTCAATCCGCAAAACGTTGGGTGATGGGAAGATTTACAAGGTTGAAGCCAAATTGACTTTACAAATCTCAAAAACCTCAGCTTTTTCTTCTTATTACGGCGGCGATTTTGGCCAGAAAAAGCTTCAGGTAACGCAGATCGACGGACGTAGCTCTTGGGGAGGAGCAAGTTTCGATTTTTCTGGGTTTTGGTCGGAATCTACAGGACAAGTTTGTATGGTTGGATCAACTCAAGTTTTATCTGTGGAAGGTACTGATTTGAAGTCCTTTGATGCTCGTGTTGTGCTTAACTATTCCAATGAGTCTAATATCTATGGAAGTTTGGTTAAGGGAGTGTTAGAGAGCGTGAATAGCCAGAGTGATTTTAAAACGATTTCGATTCTTGGTGCAAGAAATACTCCTTTGAACTATGAGTACAAGTTGTTAGAGCAATCGAAATCGGATTGCGGGGTAAACAGTGGAGAGAGTTTGTCGTTAGAGAATGTTTTGGGAGGAATGTGTAAGGTTTTTGAAGGTAAAAGTAATGTGTTTGGTTTGATGTATAGAACTGATTGTGGGATTAACCATAGTTGTAGTCCTTTTGTAAGTGATGTAGAGTACACACCGGGTTTTATGTCGCTGTTATCGTTTCTTTGTGATGGGGAGAGGATGCGAATGCTTTTGTCATTTAGTAACATAAGCAGTTATAGTAGGTTGTTTCCGTTTGATCCGAGAGCCAGTTTGGTTGCAGAAGGAACTTGGGATGTAGAGAGGAATAGGTTCTGTGGTGTTGCGTGTAGGATCTTGAATTTCTCGGAATCTTTGAGTAATGCTGTGGTTGATGATTGTTCCCTGAGGTTAAGTTTGAGATTTCCTGCTATCTTGTCGATTAAAAGCTTGGCTCCGGTAGTTGGGGAGCTTTGGAGTATCAAAAAAGAGAGTGATCCAAGCAATTTCAGAAGAATCGAGTTCTCGAGCTTAAACGATCCATTGTGGCGTTTCCCGAGTCTGAGATATGAGTATACAGAAAGCGAGAGAGTGGGTAAGTTATGCGAGGCTGGCAAGCGTCGCCCCAAAAGCAAAGGAAATCATTACCCTGATGCTCAAACTTCAGACATGAGATTTGTCATGTCAGTAAAATATTCTGGAGAAGGTAATGTGTTAAGATCTGCCCGTGCAAGCCCTTACTTTGTGGGAGATCGATTGTATCGCGATCTTTTGGTTCGTGGGCAAGGGGTTGGGCTAACTGGAATCCCTATGAATGTCAACAGTGTCACCAAAAGCTTCACAAATATCACTTACAGAATCCGTTTTTTGAATCCGCATTCTGAATCTCGTGGAGATATCTATGCTGAGGGAACATATGATAGGGATACAGGTGAGCTGTGTATGGTAGGATGTCAATCTGTTAGGCTAAAGAGCACAGTGGAGATGCGAAACAAGACTTTGGATTGCAGTCTTGCAATCAAGATCAAGTTTTCTCCAATTGATTCGAGAAGCGATGACCGTTTAAAGGGAACCATCGAAAGCGCACGAGAAAAGACAGATCCGCTTTATGTTGGACGTATGGAGGTTTTGTCGAGGTCAATCTATGTTCATCAAGCCAAAGAATCTGTTTGGAGAATGGATATGGAGGTTGCTATGGTTTTAATATCCAATACTCTCTCATGTATCTTCTTGGGGATGCAACTCTACCATATGAAGAAACACCAAGAAGCCCTTCCATTTATCTCCATTGCAATGCTGATACTTCTCACATTAGGTCACATAATTCCTCTTCTGTTAAACTTTGAAGAACTCTTTAAAAGCAGCCAAAACCAGCAAAGCTTGTTCTTTGAGAACGACAGATGGCTTGAAGCCAAGGAAATTGTGGTGCGGATAGTGACGCTGATAGCTTTCTTACTCGAGTGCCGTCTTCTCCAACTAGCTTGGACTGCTAGAAAAACCGAAGACCATCATCACCGTGAAGAGGTGTGGAATGCAGAAAAGAAGGTTTCTTATGTGTGTTTACCTCTCTACATCACTGGTGGATTGATTGCTTGGTTAGTGAACCATAATAGAACTCCTAAAAGAATAGTATTCATAAGGAAACCGCACGCACGAAATCTCTTGTACCGTCCAGTGAACCTGAAACGCTCATTTCAACGTCCTCCTCTGTGGAAAGATCTGAAATCTTATGGAGGTTTGATGCTTGACGCATTCCTCCTTCCTCAAATACTCTTCAACGGATTCAGCAACTCAGACTTAAAGCCTCTTGCTGCTTCGTTTTACGGTGGAAACAGCTTCGTTCGATTGCTTCCTCATGCTTATGATCTGTACAGAAGTCGCAGCTACGGGAAGAGTCTTGATTGGTCATTCATTTATGCAAACCACAAAATGGATTATTACTCTACGGCATGGGATATTATTATCCTCTGCATCGGTTTCCTCTTCGTGTTTCTGATTTTCTTGCAGCAGACATTCGGTGGTCGTTGTTTCATCCCAAAGAGATTCCGAGAAAATGTGGGATATGAGAAAGTTGTAGAGCTTCAACAAGCTGGTGAGCAACACAATACCAATGATTCTTGACCATATATACTGATACAGTTTTTTGTTGTCATACAATTCAATATCTTGTCTTTTCAACTTTTTTAGGCTGTAATCTCTACAGTTTTTGTGGGAGACAATTTGAGGCGAGTGAATAGAAACTTCAATAAAAATGGAACCAAATTGCCAAAGCTCTAACTTTACCTTCTGCTGATTCAATATGAGAGTACACTGCATTTGAAAAAGAACAGAGAATTCTCTTGTAGATTATTCTATAGATGCTATGAAAACAGAGTCTAGAGAATGCTCTTAACAATAGAGATTCTGGTACTTGTGGTATCAAATATTATTGTTGAAGCAAGACTCATCCCTTGAGAAATCACATTCATAAATCCTTTTCTCAGAAGACATCTTTGGTATCATCACATCAAGGAAGAAGAAGAAACTTTTAGCATGGACTTCTTGTGCTGAGAATCACTGTGGTTTCTTCATCGGTTTCAATTTGGTCATCTTTCATCCGCTTCAACAGAGTATCAATGTTACTTCCCCCTTCTCTTATATCAGCCTTGACTAGAGCATGATACATCTGTTTGTTTACACCGATACAATTCCTAAGAGATGCAACGAAGCTTTCTACTTCTTTCAAACTTCCTTCACCCCCTAGCCAACTCAAAACACTTGTAACCAGCTTCAATCCAGGTCTCCATTTTCTGTTCTCCACTTCTATACCTAAGGCAGTTTTCATACACTTGAAAGCATTACCTAAAGCACCTTTTTCCGCATAAGCAGTAGCCACAAGCCCCCAAGATTCTGGTGTTGTAGTTTTCCCTCTCCTTGCTAGATCCTCAAGCATAGCTTCTGCCTTCTCCTCCATACTTTTTCCAGTATACCCACGAATCACAGTGTTAGGCACTCGAAAATCGTAACAGTTTCCCGATGATTCCCACTCTGTAAGTACTACCTCAGCTTCTTTTAGACCATCAATCTTCATAAGCGACTGCAACACAGTAAGATAGTCCTGATTTATTCGCCTTTTACAAGCTTCTTTCTCCAATTCCCATAACCTTAATACCTCTATCTTATTCCCTAACCTAGCATAAAGCGTAATGAGATGATTGTAACCTTCACCATCTTTCTTCTCCAATCTATACTCCGACATTTTCAGAAGCTCAACCGCTCTATCACAATCACCACCATCGATATAAAACTTCGCAGCAACCGCATAAGTATTCCAATCCATAGTAAAATCCGGCCGTCTCTCCATATCACGCAAGATCCCACCAATCCTCTCAAGATCAGACATAGCACCAAAAGCATTAATACAAATCCTAAAACTATAATTATCCGGAGCAACATTCTCTTCCTTCATCTCATCCAAAACACCGGGAACTTTCTCGTGCTGACCGATATTCGTGTAAAGACACATAATATTATTGTAAGTAAGAGACGAAGAAACAAAACCCATCTCCTTCATCTTCTGAAAATGTAACAGAGACTTCTCAACGTTCTGTTGTCTAACGTAACAATTCAAAAGCGCTCCATAAGTCTTCTCGTTTTTGTATTGTTCCTTAAGGTTTTCGAAATACTCTTCTGCAGTAACGAATCCATAAACTCTACCAATAAGATCAAGATGAACCGCGTGTTCTGTCGGAGAGAACACACATACACCAGTCTCATTCATCCATTTCGATACCTGAATTGAAAAACCCCTAAAGTTCAGATTTTTCTGGTAAAGAGAGAAAGACACTTGATTTGTATAAAATCACTTACCTCGAGAGCATGGAGGAACCGTTTGCGTCTACGA